GTGACCTTGCTGCATCGTTTCAACCCTGAACGATAGCTCCTCAACAAAAGTTGCTGTCGGCATATTCAACTACCATAGGGCCAAAAAATAAAAATAAAAATCGAGGGATTTGAACAAAATATGATGTCATCATAATGGAGAAACATACAAGCCAAAGCTTAGTTCCTTCTGTCCGACAATTTCAGAGAAGTTAACAGAACCAACTATGCATTTAGAGAGAATACAATGTCATGAAAAGGTCCACTTTGAATACTGCCCCAAAAATTATAATATAAAAATGTAAAAAAAAGTCTGAGTAAATATGGCCATAAATAGCTGTTTGCAATACGGCATGGCTGCTATGTTTGTTTCTTTGTTTGCTAGTTGTTTTACTCTGCACTCAATATTCCAGCTATATGGCGGCAGTCTGAAAATAATCGAGTCAGGACCTGACAATCCCTTGATTGACATCATGAGCATCGATCCATGCAATAGGGATACGATGACATGCATCGACCAAGTCTCAGGCCTGACCACCCGATCCCGTAAGTTGCCTCTTACGACAAGCACTGGTTGCTGAAGACCTATTCTACCCCGGATCTTCACGGGTCCACGGCTGCAATGACGACTGTGGCTGATGATGCAAGACAGATGCTGGACAAACATGCAATGACACAAGCTCTCTTGACTTTCAGTCAGGCAAGCTAAATAACTGGAGTTACTTCTTTTATTAAATTAAACTAATTTTAAAGTGACCAGTATAGCTAGAGGAAGTGCTGAGAGTGTGGATAATATGTTTATTAGGCCACAATTTTCAAATTTGTTGGTTTACGGATTTTTCATAAATAAGCTGGCCCGTAGGTTGGAAAAATATAAAATGTAACATTAATGTTGTTCTTCAAAAAGTATATTTCACTGTGGAAGGTGATATTTAAGCTTATCTGTTGCCAAACCTTTCGTAACCACCTGTACTGCAGTTAAAAGGATTGCATGCACAATCTGTTGTCAAAAACACAAATGTTTGCATTAGGCGGAGAAAAAAAAAAGATAGTGCTTTTCAGACTATTTTTTCCATTTTTTTTAGGTCAAAGGAATCCGTAATCCAATTCTTAAAAAATGTTTCGCCTTACATAAAATATCACTCCAAAGACACTTCATGCATAAAATGTGTACTTTGATATTATTTTAATGCAAGATATTTGATTAAATATTTTCATTTAAAATAATTTTTTTCTCAGTCAGTATTGAAATTCTATGCAGTCAAAATTATACTCAACTGAAAAAGTACTGCAACAACTTCATAACCCAAAACTGCCATATTATTAAAACTGATACAGTAAAATGAGTAGGCTATAAGGGCATAACTGACTGAATATGAAGACACTTCAGGGCTTCAAGGAGTGAGTGAGTAGGGTTTTACGCCTCTTTTAGCAATATTCCAGCAATATCACGTCAGAGGACCCAGAATTGGGTAACCATTGTACCCATGTGGGGAATTGAACCCGGGTCTTTGGCATAACGAGCAAACGCCTTAACCATTAGGCTACCCCGCCTCCCCTCAGGACTTCACTTGAACTAAGAGTGTCCTAGAAGTGTGCAAGAAGAAATTTCATTGTCAGAATGTGTAACCCATATTTCAAAAAAAAAGAACTTTGAGATGAATTATTGAGCACATCCAATGATGAAAATACATTTCTTGGGAAAAGAAATCATTTTTCTCAAAACACCTGAAAAATTAAATTAAACTGTTTAAACCAGAAAATAACTAGCCTATAATATACCTTCCAGCAGTGATTTTACAATCAAACTGCATCAAGACATTTTCATTATTTTATCAATTTTTGAAGGGACATACCAATTTAAAAAAGAAAAAAAAAATCCTCAGGACATTTTGGGTCCTAGAAAACAAACCAATCGGAGGGAGAGTGAGTATGGTTTTATGCCACTTTTAGCAATATTACGCCAATGTCAGGGCACTAAAACAATCTAAAACCAGTTTTAAGAATGTTTCTGGTGAGTGCGAGTGACTAATATTTGCCGTGTAAATCATGGTTTTTTCTCCTAGGCGACATATAGGTGTGACTGTACCTACTTCTACACACCAACACAGTGCTAGAGGGAGTGCTTACAACAGCTGCACAGACAAGGACACTGCGATCACAATTTACAATATTTATTTCAAAATATTATACAGACTGCACCAAAGACACTCTGCTTTTGGCTGTGACACCCACTTTCCCTAACTCAGCATCAAGGTGTGGCGCTGACGTAATTCACACGACACATGTTCTGATCATTGAGCAACTTTTCAAACTAGGCAAGAATGTGCATAATAAAATAAATAAATTTAATAAATTAATAATTTAAAAAAAATAAAAAAATGTTTTGTTGTGATTTTCCCAACTCAGGTAAAAATAAGTATAATTTACAAGCTTGTGTTTTTAAATATCACAGAATACAATCCTTTAACTTCTCCAAATCTGCCATGGCCTCAAAAAATGGGATGTTTATTACACAGCACTGATGCTAAGGTTCCTTACGATTATTAAAATTTTGATGATTTTTTTAACAAATATAACATTTACATCTAATGGATCCTCAGCCTCAAATTTGAGTACAAGAAGTTTGGTGTTCAAGAGAAAACAATTTGTGCTTAAATTTACATGTATTCACATGTGAATCTCATGTGAAATGACTGAAACGTTCAAACGTGAGATGGTCGAAACCTCTCAGAATCAACAACAAATATGAGAAATAAACGGAAAGGGTGTAAAAAAACACGAAGGTGTAAAGCTTAAGGAAAGTGGGAGCCAAAACCGAAACAGTTTACAGAGAAAACAATGTGGCTGACTTGATTGGAAATGTCCATACCAAGTTTCATTAAATACATCTCCGCAAAATACTTTTTAAAAGCCGACTAGTTAAATGTTAAAAAAATATCCTCCTCGAGAAATAATTTAATGTAACTTAAATCACCCTATTATTAAAGTAAATTAAGTTCTGAAAAACATTTCAAATATTCACCACAAGGGGTGGACAGGGTGGGTTAAATCCAATTAGTCCAAGGTATAATTCAGACAAGTGTTTTATGCAACAAGTTTGGCAACAACTAGTCCCGGATGATCACTAGGAGTAAGTGAGTGAGTTGTGTTTAACGCCACAGTATTTCAGTTACAACACAGTATGCATACTAATGAGGGACAAAAGCCCTAAGTGATGCAGGTCTTTCATTTTGTCATTTTGTTGATACCTACAGGCATGGGAATGGTGCTAACAAACCAATGACCATAATCCAGGAGAATCTGGGATTCAAACCAACATCATAGGATCATGGCACACCTAAGGGACATAACTCTGCACAGCAAATCATGCAACCTGTGGCCCCTAACTCTGCAGACTCGAACAATTCTGAAAATGGACACTTAAGCTTCATGCTTATAAATCAAATAGCAGCACTGGTATAGAAGGCAAATAAAATAGTCCTGTGAGCTAAAGCATTGATCTCCTTTTCAAAATGCGAACACCAATTTCAATACAAAGCTTCAGCTAAAGTTGCGGCTTTTAAAATGCATTTTGCGTTGCACATATGAAGAAGAAAGTGATCTACAAACAAATGACATTATGACTACATATACCTGAGGGTACACAGTATAACAGACAAGTATATTCTTACTGGTGTGAACATTCAACGTTAAAAGCATGTTGCAAAGACCCTTGCATGTTATTTAGGGATCATATGCAAAAGATGCCACTATGAAGGTATAATATTAATATATGCTGCAGCACAAGAAACCATATGGATTTAATATTCAATTATCAAATTTCAAAGGTTTCACACATTAGCTCCTTAATGCATAATATAAATTCAACTGTGAAATTCATGTTTTTGTTTTTTGTAAATTTAAACTAGAAACCTCAAAATCAAAAAGATATCTACTTTTAAAAACAGGCATTTTTCTTACACAGCCTTAATATTGCAACATGCAAAATATCCATTTTGGATGACAATTCTAAATGCAGAGATCTGAGGATACACGGAAAAGGTATGAAATCGATATCTTTTGTATCAAATATATTCGATCAGCCCAAATTAATTTTTACAATATTTTAAAAATAAATATTTATCCATAACTGACAAGTACAAACTGAGCCATGGCCATAATATCCACACATCTGTATTATCCTTAAAAATTTGCATACTCAGGAATATTCTTTCATTTGAGCTAACCACATAGAAATCGGTGGCCAAGTCCTCGTGTACTCAGTCTCTGCATGCTAGAAACAGGCATGCTCGATAAGCCAATAAGGGCCCTATGAACATGTACAAAATTGTAACAGATGAGTATTCATCAGCTAAGAATTGTAAAAGTACAAAAGAGTAAGGCAAGGGGAGGTAATACCTGTCGACACAATCTCCACATCTCTCTTTCATGAGAAGAGACGAAAACAATTCACTCAATTCCCTTACAATTATCACATTATCTCAAATCAACATCTAGAAATTTAGGCTAATTGACATATTTATGATTCTTAAAACAAAAATTGAATAATGATAATACATTTTATATCTTTTAATATCATCATTTGGTCAGAGCAGTAATTATTTTATTACGGTAGTTAATTTTTATGACAACACATTTACCATTATTGGATTTTTACATTCTCAGGAAATGGAATTTGTTTCTATGAAAACAATAACCGTTATCATTGGATTTTTACATTCTAAGAAAATGGAATTCGTTTCTATGACAACACATTAACCGTTATCATTGGATTTTTTACATTCTCAGAAAATGGAATTTGTTTTTCAATAAAAAAAATCATCTCAGAAAATAAATGATAAAAGCGACTGTACAAGAATTTCACCTACAAGTTTAACAACCCAATGCTACTGAGTATATATGTGTTAGAGGTTAGAAACTCAAAATTCGGGCAACATGCAACATGACGTATAACTCTACCTATATAAAACTGTTGACACAAATGCTGAGTACAAAATTAAAACCTGGGTATTTTCATACCTTTATTTTGTTTTCGCGCCTCTGACATGATTTGCCTACCTGAGATCCGAATAACAAAGTGTTACATGTACCAAGAGAAAACGTCCTCTCAACCAACAAATAATGCATATTCATTGAGGTTTATTCACAAGTTTTTAAACTGTCTCTCATCTAATGCCGAATTGATGATGAAGTTAACAAGACAAAATTCTACACACCCATATTTGATTTCAGACCTGAATTAAAATGGCCACCAAGGGGAGATAATGCATAAAGGGACATAACTCCATCTTGTGATGAAAATCTACATTTCACAATCAGTGTCAGAATACTCACAACATATCTTGTGTTAATATCATATGATGCACTCATAAATGCAGTTTCTTAAATTTCTTTGTCAAGAAACGTTTTGCACATCTTGTATGGTAGAGCATTGCATACTGCATAGAATATGACGGAAACTAGATATCAGAAGAAATTCATTTTTCAAATTAATTAAAAAAAATATATATAAAAATTTCACATGAACTATTTTTCACACTGCTCATTTTCACACAATAAGCATAAAAAACAACCTGATTATTCCTGCATCTCGGACACAAAGTTGCATGTGCTACCAAACTTATTGCACAGTTTGCTGACTGAAGTGGAAATGGCAAGCAAATGTCAGTTTTAAGATATCATGGCATCCATCCTGGTTTAATCCAAGCTGAGAAATGATATCGAAGCATTGAAACATCAACTTGAGATCATGGCTAAGTTCGTAACACTTTCATCCTAACCCTGCCAGTATAGAAATACTCACAGGAGTTGACGGTGTGTCTTGTTTTGGCACTGTTGCAGTAGGCTTCGATGACTTGAAGGATGAAAGCGTCTTCGTTATACACCTTCTGGTCATCTGAAAGATCATATTGGTGAAGAAAGTTTTAAAGATTACTCTAGACGTGACTTTTGGTATGTATAATATCATATCTAACAGTGAATTTGTGATATGCGAGTGTTTGTTTGTTCGTTGTTTAAACACACTCAGCAATATTCCAGCTATAAGGCGGCGGTCTGTAAATAATCGAGTCTGGCCCAGACAAACAAGTGATTGACATCATGAGCATTGATCTATGCATCAACCAAGTCAGCCAGTCTGATCCCCCAGTCCTGTTGCTGAAGGCCAATTCTAACCCAGATCTTCCCAGGGTGATGGGTGACAATTAGTGACTCGTTTTATGCAGTCAGCAAGCAATATTCCAGCTATACGATGATGACCTGTAAATAACCGAGTCTGGATCAGACAAACCAGTGATCGATATTGTGAGCAACAATCCATGCTGTCGGGGAACAATATAACGTTATGAACCAAGCCTAACCCCGATTTATTTAGTTGCCTCTTATAACCAGGATAGGTTGCTGGGGACCCATTCTGACCCGTAATCATATTTTACAAGCAAAGGGACATGGGATTTATTTTGTTTTGACATTGTGCTTGATACATGTGCATGAGGATTCATTCATTCATTCATTCATTCATTCATTCATTCATTCATTCATTCATTCATTCATTCATTCATTCATTCATTCATTCATTCATTCATTCATTCATTCACAAGTGAGTGAGTGAGTTGGGTTCAACGCCGTTTGAACAATATTCCAGTTATATCACGGCATGTCAACTTGATGTGGGAGGAAAGCCCGAAGTGATGCAGGTCACCCACTTTGGTGAAAGCCACATCAAGGGTAGGTGCTGAGAAACCTAGAAACATAATGGAGGCGAACCGGGATTTGAACCAGGATTTGAACCGGGATTTGAACCAGGATTTGAACCAAATGTTTACATGCCTCATACAGTCATACACATTTTTAAACACCAGAAACCAGATTTATGAAAAGGATATCTGTTCTCAAATAAAATGACAATGATAACATGCTATGGATGTATAAAATTCATGCAATATGTAAATTTAGAAATTGAACTTCAAAGAGAAAGCATGCAAACATATAACAAACTTCAACTGCCCAATATTAGAGCATGATGAAAGATTAGATTTTTATCTCCGACAGCTTCTCTATTGCCTCACGTCAATTTAGTTAACTACATTTGTTTTGTTTGTTGTTTAATTCAGCACCCAGCAATATTCCAGCTATATGACGCGGTCCGTAAATAATTGACAAGACAATCCAATGATTGATATCATGAGCATCGATCTATGTAACAGGGGTACAATGACATGCATAAACCAAGTCAGCGAGTCTGACCACCTGATCCTGTTAGTCGCCTTTTAGGGCAAGTATGGGTTGCTGAAGACCTATTCTACCCCGGATCTTCACGGGTGTACTTATAATGTAACAGCACATGACACAAAAGTGTCCCATGACGTAACAAAATCTGCGGATACGTGGAAAGTTCTCATCCCTGCTAATACACCAGCATTGGGAATCTAAAGCTCATCTACACACAAAGTAAGAAAACATCAGCTAAGGACTGATTACAAATACCGACTTTACTGGTTTTCAAGCCATGTCTGTTAATTTTTTATAACATAGTTATAAACAGTTATTAGGACATTCTTAGACTCATAATTTGTACATTCAAAGATACTATTCAAAAGTCTATATACCAGTGTATCAGTACCAATTACCAATCAAGCTATTGACTAAAGATTTTTATTCATCTTTTCAAAACACATTATCAGCAAAAAATAATTATACATTTATTCAACAGCAGATTTAACAATGGTTCCAAAGGCAAAACCTTTTCAAAGAATATTATCAAATTTTATGGCCTCAAAAGCCGATAAGTTTAAGGCCTTTGCAAGCCTGTGCAAGCCTTGTTTAACAAATAATTATCATGTGCCCCTTTGATACATTGAGCTCTACTGTGTCACAGAAGCCCAAGGGGTCCTTAAAGAATATGTGGTGTTCAAATAACCCACACAAAGATACCAGTAAATTGGTGTGCAATAAAAACCTCAGAATCACTTTAGGTTCTGAAAACTAAAGCACACGGAAGGCCTTAAAAAAATAAAATATGCTTACTTAAAAAAAAAAAAACATTCAGGGGAGAAAAAGTGCTTGATACGGAAGCGTAGTAGGGCCACGGCGGATTTTTTTTGTCTAAGTATCCCCTATGTAGGACCTACTATCTCCTACGTAGGACTTACTATCTCTCCTATGTAGGACTTACTATCTCTCCTACGTAGGACTTACTATCTCTCCTACGTAGGACTTACTATCTCTCCTACGTAGGACTTACTATCTCCTACGTAGGACTTACTATCTCTTACGTAGGAGATACTAAGTCCTACGTAGGAGATAGTAATTCTAGGCCATATTTAGTCCTACGTAGGAGATAGTCAGTCCTACGTAGGAGATACTAAGTCCTACGAAGAAGATACTAAGTCCTATGTAGAAGATACTAAGTCCTATGCAGGAGATACTAAGTCCTACGTAGGAGATACTAAGTCCTACGCAGGAGATACTAAGTCCTACGTAGGAGATACTTAGACAAAAAAGAAATTCACCGTGGCCCTACTACGCTTCCGTAGCTTTAGATGAATTATTATGATGAAAAAAACATACATAAGAAACAAGTGCTTTGGGCCAAAATGCATTAGCATAAACACAACAATTTGGGGTGGAAACTTGTAGATGAGTTGTGAAATACAGAAATGACAATCACAGTTGCAGGACATCGTTGTGAAAACACATTATTAACTTGTAAACAACGAATCTGTAGACAACAAATCGAATACACTGACTAGGCCAAAGTTCAATTTTGAGAAAAAAATTATTCATCAAGTGAAACACGAAATATAACAATTGAAAAAATACAAATATAATTCTGATATTGACAACAGAAATGAATGACTTAACAATCTAGACACAACAAGAACCAGCTAGTGACTAACATCTATGCCAAGCGTCATCGTAATCGTCACCAGAACCGGTCCGCACTTAGCAAAAAAAGTCACATCATGAAATTATTTAACAAATATCAACAGATGAATTATCATTACAGTTTGTTAATTCTTGAAACATTGAAATAAAAAATGTGTGTTTCCTGACTACACATTGTAAGCTTCTTACAGCAACAATCTTATATTAATCATATGCAAATATATTCATGTTGACTTAACAGTTGCATGATCAGAAGTGATCCATTACGTGTAAAGCTATCCTTAAAAATGTGTCCAATTTGTATAATTATATAACATATATAACTGATATTAGGATGACTTGAAACAAATAATACTAATTATATTTTCAATATTCAGAAAGATACAATGATCAAGAGTGAGTGAGTTGGGTTTAACGCCGCTTTTAACAGTATTCCAGTTATATCGCGGCGCGTCAGCTTAATGTGGGAGGAAAGCTCGAAGTGATGCAGGTCTCAGACGTTTACAACTTCGGTGAAACCCACGTGCACGGGTATGGTGCTGACAAACCTAGAAACATAATCGGGGCGAACCGGGATTCGAACCGACGATCATAGGTTTCTGGTGTGCCCAAGGGACACAACTCTGCACAGCGAATTGCGGCGCCGTAGACGACTACGCCCCCCGTGCCCCCCAATAATCAAGAAACATCTTTTACAAGAAACACATCATGCATGTTTAAAAACAATGAAGTGACCATTTGGTATGAGAGAAATGTAAGTTTTTGTCAAAATAGTGATAACACAATCAACCCCCGATTCATCAAGTCACTTCTTACGACCACAATAAGTTGCTAGGGACCTATCCTTACTCAGGATCCCCACAAGGAGGCCAGCATCAGTTGCTAAGGACCTATCCTAACCCAGGATCCCCACAAGGAGGCCAGCATCAGTTGCTAGGGACATATCCTAACCCAGGATCCCCACAAGGAGGCCAGCATCAGTTGCTAGGGACATATCCTAACTCAGGATCCCCACAAGGAGGCCAGCATCAGTTGCTAGTGACCTATCCTAACCCAGGATCCCCACAAGGAGGCCAGCATCAGTTGCTAGGGACATATCCTAACCCAGGATCCCCACAAGGAGGCCAGCATCAGTTGCTAGGGACATATCCTAACCCAGGATCCCCACAAGGAGGCCAGCATCAGTTGCTAGGGACATATCCTAACTCAGGATCCCCACAAGGAGGCCAGCATCAGTTGCTAGGGACATATCCTAACTCAGGATCCCCACAAGGAGGCCAGCATCAGTTGCTAGGGACCTATCCTAACCCAGGATCCCCACAAGGAGGCCAGCATCAGTTGCTAGGGACCTATCCTAACCCAGGATCCCCACAAGGAGGCCAGCATCAGTTGCTAGGGATGTATCCTAACTCAGGATCCCCACAAGGAGGCCAGCATCAGTTGCTAGGGGCCTATCCTAACCCTGGATCCTAACAAGGAGGCCAGCATCAGTTGCTGGGGGCCTATCCTAACCCCGGATCCTGACCAGGAGACCAGCCTCAGTTGCTAGGGACCTATCTGACCCCGGATCCTGACCAAGAGACCAGCATCAGTTGCTAGGTGCCTATACTAACCCAGGATCCCCACAAGGAGACCAGCATCAGTTGCTAGGGACTACCTAATCTGGAATCTCCATGGGCATTCCCCTCTCTTTCAAACTTGGGGCCCTATGAATCCCAACAGCGAGATACTAATGACAGTCTCACCTGGTTTCCTCTTGGCTGTAGACTTGCGGTTAGCCTTGGGGCTCTTGAGTGCCTCGTCCCGGCACATGAGGGCGGGGCGGAGTGGGGGGGAGGGGCGGAGACAGGACATGCTCCAGGTCTTGTGGACTGGCTTGTGGTGAGGGGGGGAGTGGTGGACATGGGACTGCATCACCTGCGCCGTCTTGGCCTGGGTCTTCACCGTGCTAATGCTGGGCTGAGATGTGGAGATCGAGATCTGGAACAGCCAGGTGTCAGTGAGATAATATAGAGTGTGTCTCAGTCTGTTTGTTAGTTGTTTTATGTTAGCCTACATATTTTGCAGCTGTATCACTGTGGGTTGAAAACTATCAAATCTGGACTATGATATTATGAGCAATGACCCAGGCTGTTTGGATAATCCAGTTTAGTCATAGTGCTTGTGAAGGAGGTGTGTGTGTGTGTGTGTGTGTGTGTGTGTGTGTGTGTGTGTGTGTGTGTGTGTGTGTGTGTGTGTGTGTGTGTGTGTGTGTGTGTGTGTGTGTGTGTGTGTGAGTGTCTGTCTGTGAGTGTCTGTCTGTGTGTGTCTGTGTGTGTCTGTGAGTGTCCCCGGGGGGAGGGGGATCCTCTGTAAGCTGTGTTGGTATGTCTGAGAGTGGGGTTTTCGGTTTTAGAGGTATGGGTGGGTCACCTGTACGTCCTGTCTGTGTGTCGGTGAGTGGGGTTTTGCGGGCGAGCGAGGAGGGTCATGTTTAAGTTGTGTGTGTGTAAGAGTGTGGAGTTCGGGGGTAGGGTGGCTCACCTGTAAGCTCTGTGGTTTGGTGGAAGAGGAATGATACGTCTGGTTGACCTGCTGTCGGAGAGTGTCCAGCCACGGCCCCACCTCCACCTTGGTGCCGCATGTCACCACCATCTTCTCTATCATGTTACCTGCAACATGTCACAGTGTCGCCATAGCTCAAAGAGGAAGGTCCAACACAGGGAGAAATATTTACCACTACTGACACTTTACTTGTGGATGAATATGTTCATTCTTACACAGTGAAACCTGTTGAAATATAATGATATATCACCTCTCCCACCTTACCCAATAATTTCTCACCCAACTCATCTCACACCATCCCAACCTTTTCACCCCAGCCATCTCATCAGCACCATCATCCATCTCACCCAACCCATCGCATCACCACCACCATCCATCTCACCCAACCCATCGCATCACCACCATCCATCACCACCATCCATCTCACCCCACCCATCTCATCACCACCATCCATCTCACCCCACCAATCCCATCGCCACCATCCATCTCACCCCACCAATCCCATCGCCACCATCCATCTCACCCCACCCATCGCATCACCACCATCCATCTCACCCCACATCTCACCCCACCCATCCCGTCACCACCATCCATCTCACCCCACCCATCTCAAGAAACCCAATCTGGCCAACATCATGCACCCACCCCACCCCTCCCACCTCACCTATTTCACTAATCTGTCCACCCCAGATATTCACCTCAACCATTGCCCTATACAATCCCAGCCCCCATCTCACCAAACCAATCTCACCCATGCCCCCTCCCCCCCTCCCACAGCCATTTCATCCCACCTATCTCACCTAATGTACTCACCTCACCTCACCCACCCATCTTATCCCACTCATCTCACCAGAACCCATCTCACTACAGTTAGACAAAACACATCTTGTAGAAGGTCAGTCTGTCCTCAATATGAGAGATATCTTCCACATGCATAAAAGAACAATCAGGACTGTTTAACACATCTGTAAGCTTCATGCATAGTTACCGGAGATCTCGAAACCGTTAGGGTAGGCCTCCAGGTCCTCACACCGGTTGACGGTCATCCCGCTCAGAGGCAGCTTGCCCTGCAGGGGAGACAACCACAGTCAACACTCCAACAACAAGAAGTTCTAAAAAATATCAATTGCACAAAAAACATACTTTTCCTTTTCTTAGGGGCGGTCGGGTAGCCTAGTGGTTAAAGCGTTTGCTCGTCACGCCGAAGACCCGGGTTCGATTCCCGACATGGGTACAATGTGTGAAGCCCATTTAAGGTGTCCCCCGCCGTGATATCGCTGGAATATTGCTAAAAGCGGCATTAAACCATACTCACTCACTCACTCCTTTTCTTAAGGATGATAAAAATATCTTTTCATTCAGTACTTCACAAAACTATTTTGAGTTTCAAATAAGAAACAACTTAAATCTGCATTTGTTATTTGCTATAATTATGATTGTATCATTAAATTGTGAAAATTTCACTGAATTTGTCTATAATATATTCCCAGGTAGAACAAGGGGAAAGGGCAATCATGTTCAACACCAGTAAGACAAGTGAGCTCTAATTCGTGACAGATAGTCTGCATTACCTCGTACTGGTAGCCGCTGAGCCTCGGGCTCATGGACAACATGAGCAACACGTTGGGGAACAGGACAAATATCCGGTCGTGCTTCTCCCCGGTCTGCTTGTGGAGCTTCACCTGTGACAGATGGACCACCTCCCCAAGACTGGCTATGGACTGAAACACAGACATGGTAGTTGTAGAAACATGGCCAAAAAAGGGAATACATACATGAAACAGGAGGCTAAGGTCACAGAATGTTCCAATGTCAGGAGGCCATGATTACAAGAAGCTCCAGAGGCTACAATTTCAAGAAGCTCCAGAGGCTACGATTACAAGAAGCTCCAGAGGCTACGATTACAAGAAGCTCCAGAGGCTACGATTACAAGAAGCTCCAGAGGCTACGATTACAAGAAGCTCCAGAGGCTACGGTCACAAGATGCTCCAACCTTGGGAGGCTATGATTACAGGAGGCAAAGATCACAGTAGGATCCAAATTCAGGAGGCTCCGACCTCAGGAGGCTAAGATTGAAAGAAGCTCTGAATTTGAGAAGCTCAGATCACAAGAGGCTCCAAACTCAGGAGGCTAAGATTACAAGAAGCTCTGAATTTGAGAGGCTAAGAACACAATAGACTCCAAATTCAGGAGGTTCTAACTTGAAAAGGCTCTGACCTCAGAAGGCTAAGATCACTGGAGCTTCCCATCTGAGTAGTTCACACTTCAGAGGCTCACACTACAGGCTCTTACATCAGCAGGTCATGTTCCTAGGAGGCTCGGAACTCAGGAGTCATATGTCAGCAGACTTTGACGCCAGAAGCTCGAACCTCTCTCAACATGATAAGTGAACACGCATGCAGTTTGCAGACAGCCTAACTTTGATGCTCTCCAGGCTCTCACCTCTTCTTCCCAGCCAGCTATAGTGCTGGTCACAATCTCAAGGCTCTCACCTCTCCCTCCCAGCCAGCTATAGTGCTGGTCACAATCTCAAGGCTCTCACCTCTCCCTCCCAGCCAGCTATTGTGCTGGTCACAATCTCCCTCCCAGCCAGCTATAGTGCTGGTCACAATCTCCAGGCTCTCACCTCTCCCTCCCAGCCAGCTATAGTGCTGGTCACAATCTCAAGGCTCTCACCTCTCCCTCCCAGCCAGCTATAGTGCTGGTCACAATCTCCAGGCTCTCACCTCTCCCTCCCAGCCAGCTATAGTGCTGGTCACAATCTCCAGGCTCTCACCTCTCCCTCCCAGCCAGCTATAGTGCTGGTCACAATCTCCAGGCTCTCACCTCTCCCTCCCAGCCAGCTATTGTGCTGGTCACAATCTCCCTCCCAGCCAGCTATTGTGCTGGTCACAATCTCCCTCCCAGCCAGCTATAGTGCTGGTCACAATCTCAAGGCTCTCACCTCTCCCTCCCAGCCAGCTATATGGCTGGTCACAATCTCCCTCCCAGCCAGCTATAGTGCTGGTCACAATCTCCAGGCTCTCACCTCTCCCTCCCAGCCAGCTATTGTGCTGGTCACAATCTCCCTCCCAGCCAGCTATTGTGCTGGTCACAATCTCCCTCCCAGCCAGCTATAGTGCTGGTCACAATCTCAAGGCTCTCACCTCTCCCTCCCAGCCAGCTATAGTGCTGGTCACAATCTCCCTCCCAGCCAGCTATAGTACTGGTCACAATCTCAAGGCTCTCACCTCTCCCTCCCAGCCAGCTATAGTGCTGGTCACAATCTCAAGGCTCTCACCTCTCCCTCCCAGCCAGCTATTGTGCTGGTCACAATCTCCCTCCCAGCCAGCTATAGTGCTGGTCACAATCTCAAGGCTCTCACCTCTCCCTCCCAGCCAGCTATAGTGCTGGTCACAATCTCAAGGCTCTCACCTCTCCCTCCCAGCCAGCTATAGTGCTGGTCACAATCTCAAGGCTCTCACCTTTCCCTCCCAGCCAGCTATTGTGCTGGTCAAAATCTCCAGGCTCTCACCTCTCCCTCCCAGCCAGCTATTGTGCTGGTCACAATCTCAAGGCTCTCACCTCTCCCTCCCAGCCAGCTATAGTGCTGGTCACAATCTCAAGGCTCTCACCTCTCCCTCCCAGCCAGCTATAGTGCTGGTCACAATCTCCAGGCTCTCACCTCTCCCTCCCAGCCAGCTATTGTGCTGTTCACAATCTCCAGGCTCTCACCTTTCCCTCCCAGCCAGCTATTGTGCTGGTCACAATCTCCAGGCTCTCACCTCTCCCTCCCAGCCAGCTATTGTGCTGTTCACAATCTCCAGGCTCTCACCTCTCCCTCCCAGCCAGCTATTGTGCTGGTCAAAATCTCCAGGCTCTCACCTCTCCCTCCCAGCCAGCTATAGTGCTGGTCACAATCTCCAGGCTCTCACCTCTCCCTCCCAGCCAGCTATTGTGCTGGTCACAATCTCAAGGCTCTCACCTCTCCCTCCCAGCCAGCCATAGTGCTGGTCACAATCTCAAGGCTCTCACCTCTCCCTCCCAGCCAGCTATAGTGCTGGTCACAATCTCAAGGCTCTCACCTCTCCCTCCCAGCCAGCTATAGTGCTGGTCACAATCTCAAGTCTCTCACCTCTCCCTCCCAGCCAGCTATTGTGCTGGTCACAATCTCCAGGCTCTCACCTCTCCCTCCCAGCCAGCTATAGTGCTGGTCACAATCTCAAGGCTCTCACCTCTCCCTCCCAGCCAGCTATAGTGCTGGTCACAATCTCCCTCCCAGCCAGCTATAGTGCTGGTCACAATCTCCCTCCCAGCCAGCTATAGTGCTGGTCACAATCTCCAGGCTCTCACCTCTGCCTCCCAGCCAGCTATAGTGCTGGTCACAATCTCAAGGCTCTCACCTCTCCCTCCCAGCCAGCTATAGTGCTGGTCACAATCTCCAGGCTCTCACCTTTCCCTCCCAGCCAGCTATTGTGCTGGTCACAATCTCCCTCCCAGCCAGCTATAGTGCTGGTCACAATCTCCCTCCCAGCCAGCTATAGTGCTGGTCACAATCTCCCTCCCAGCCAGCTATAGTGCTGGTCACAATCTCCCTCCCAGCCAGCTATAGTGCTGGTCACAATCTCAATGCTCTCACCTCTCTCTCCCTCCCAGCCAGCTATAGTGCTGGTCACAATCTCAAGGCTCTCACCTCTCCCTCCCAGCCAGCTATTGTGCTGGTCACAATCTCAAGGCTCTCACCTCTCCCTCCCAGCCAGCTATAGTGCTGGTCACAATCTCAAGGCTCTCACCTCTCTCTCCCTCCCAGCCAGCTATAGTGCTGGTCACAATCTCAAGGCTCTCACCTCTCCCTCCCAGCCAGCTATAGTGCTGGTCACAATCTCCAGGCTCTCACCTCTCCCTCCCAGCCAGCTATTGTGCTGGTCACAATCTCCCTCCCAGCCAGCTATAGTGCTGGTCACAATCTCAAGGCTCTCACCTCTCCCTCCCAGCCAGCTATAGTGCTGGTCACAATCTCCAGGCTCTCACCTCTCCCTCCCAGCCAGCTATAGTGCTGGTCACAATCTCAAGGCTCTCACCTCTCCCTCCCAGCCAGCTATAGTGCTGGTCACAATCTCCAGGCTCTCACCTCTCCCTCCCAGCCAGCTATAGTGCTGGTCACAATCTCCAGGCTCTCACCTCTCCCTCCCAGCCAGCTATAGTGCTGGTCACAATCTCCAGGCTCTCACCTCTCCCTCCCAGCCAGCTATAGTGCTGGTCACAATCTCAAGTCTCTCACCTCTCCCTCCCAGCCAGCTATCGTGCTGGTCACAATCTCAAGCTCCATTTCCTTCAGCTTACGCACTTCCAAACACGAATTCTGAAATGTGACAGCAGCATACAGTCATCAAGGAACAAGGTTACAACACTGGTAGGACTGCTGATAGGTTCAGGTGATTTATTATAATAGAATGAAGATATGATCAGCTGAATAACCGAGAATGCTCAAAGTTATCTATTTGATATAGAAGATAAAAGAACACCAGATAAACACCTGAATTGTTTGTTTGTTGTTTAATGCCGCACTCGGCAACATTCCGCTATATCACGGAGCTCTGTAAATAGTCCAGTCTGGACCTGACAATCCAATGATTGACATCATGAGCATGGATCCACGCAATGTGGATACGATGACATGCATCAACCAAGTCAACGAGCCTCACCACCCAATCCCGATTACTGCTCAAAAGAAGTTAAAGAACACCCAATTCTTTCATATTACAAAAGTTAAAATGTCATGGAATCAGGTGTTATACCGGTGAAGATCCGGGGTAGAATAGGTCTGCAGTAGCCAGTGCTTGCTGTAAAAGGCAACTATGTTTGTCGTAAAAGGCGACCAACGGGATTGGGTGGTCAGGCTTGCCGACTTTGTTGATGGATGTCATTAATCCCAATTGCGTCGATCGATGCTCATATCAATCACTGGATTATCTGGTCCAGACTCGACTCTTTACAGACCACCATCATATAGCTGGAATATTGTTGAGGGCGACGTTAAACAACAAACAAACAAAAGATGTGAAGGGAACTAATCGGTCGAGGTATCTTCTCAAGAGACATTATTTAACAGCCCTGTGACTTACAGCTATATCTCTATACACTGCTATGGCCCTTTGCGTGTCTCCGCGATCTGGATGGCTTTCCTAAAACGAATAAATATTCATTTATAATTAATAATAAAAACATGCTACACACATAGCTAAACAGACTTTCAGCTTTAATGTTCAAAACAGAGGATTCACTTTCAGATACACAAGTATGAACTGATATCTGATCCCCGACAAGCCCATCTACCTTTAATTAGTGATGTGTATAGCAAACTGAGAAATCTCACTCAGTGTCAAGTGTCACTGACAATTGGCTGTACGTAATCAGTGGCGAATCAACACAATCGAGGCGAATCAACACAATCGCGGCGAATCTACACAATCGGCGGAGAAGGATCAACCTTGTTAAACTTAAATAAATGTTATGAAGTGTTATCAGTTGAATGCTATGAAGTGATCACTGCTGATTCAAGTCAATGCTGCAATTACGTGTATTGGTTTTTGTTTTACACAAGATGGCGGACATTTCCGAGCGAAAACGTATATAACGAACAACGGATATAATGAACTGATTTCTCCGGTCCCTTGTAGTTCATTATATCCATGTGTTACTGTACAATAAATACATGTTGGTATACTCTTTACGTAAGTATTTAAGCATTGATATGTGCAAGGTTTCCAGTTTAACAATGTCCGGACAGACAAGGTTTGACAGTATAAAGGTGTACCTCAATGTGCCTCTCCAGCTCCTTCAGCAGACTGGGGTATCGGTCGAGTCGAGTGAAGGGCTTGGACAGGTTGGTGGTGAGAGTCATGGCCCCTGGGGGTGTGGCACCCACACTCTCCATGAATCTACTCAGGTCCTCCCTGAAACACAATCAATCACATATAGCTGTCACTCAGCTGTCACTCAGCTGTCAATGCCTGAGTACATAGCACACCTGTCACTCAGCTGTCAATGCCTGATGTACCCGCAGCCTACTTCCTGCTTTGTGGTTGGCTGTTTCTTTTAAACTTTTACATTAATAAATACCACTTTTTTATCGATAACAACTTCTATATTCTTTGAAACAACGTTAGTCTCTCTCAAATACCCTAAGAATAGGTTATACCCAAAGAATATGTTAAAAAAGGAGTCCAACTCAAGTCTAGAATGATTGGGCAAGTTGTCCATTTGGATTAAAAAAAATTCATTTTGTATATATGTATTTTTAAATAAGATAACTTTAGTTCTGGGTCTAAATGTCAGTCCATAACGATGTTTCAGGGCTTCTATTTGCCCCTTCTCTGGTGAATATTGAGTAAACACAGTGAGTTAATATTTCTGTATAAATACAACCTGATATGTTCACACAAGGTAGGATAAGGCTAAAAAAAATAATAATCTTGGTTCTCAGGTTCTCAGGCACCGCCCGCATTATCATAAAGTCTGTCGCACGTTGCAATATCATTTCCATTTTAAATTTTAAAAAATAAATCCTAATACTTAAAAACAATGCGATCCCAATATAGCATGCAGTTACTTCCCTTTACATGTACATCTCATGTTATGGTCATGGTGGCAATAGGAGTTTGAATGCTTGTTCATGTAGTGAAGCCCTTTCCCAGGTTGATAGCACACAACTGTTCATATGGTTACATACAGGTTTGTACAAGCAAAAAACCCAATGCCCACACACTCTATATTTTCAAAAGTCATTGCCTGAGAACCAATTCTTTTCTTTTAAGCCTTAATGCACAAAGATGACAATGTGATGAGAAAGCCAAAGGGAAGCAACTCTGCATAGCACATCTCGTAGCATGACTTCAGCTGCCTCGTCACCTGTGTATCTGCAGCACGGAGACGGCCTTGGGGTGGTTGCCGCAGTAGTCCATGTACAGCCGCTTCAGCTGCTCCGCGTGCTTCATGAACACGCCGCCGATACGGCGCTGCATCGGGGGCAGTCTGCAACAAGAACCCATTGTCTCAGTCTACATGGTCTACATTAGTTTGTTTGTTGTTTAGAAAGTGACTTGGTTGAAATGTGCCTCTGTTCACCCAGCAGGAATCCCGATATGCGCCCCAAGGCAGCTTGGATTGTATGAGGGAGTTGAGAATGGTAACTGGAATGCAAATGGATCCACTGGTCGGGGACAAACAAAACCGCATTTGAGCACCCCCCAAACCCCTCAATCCAAGTCCTATCACCCCACCCCCCCCCCCCCACCCCCCCCCCCCCCCCCCCCCCCCCCCCCCCCCCCCACCCCCCCCACAATCCAGCCCTAAGCGCCCCCCCCCCCCCCCCCCCCCCCCTTCCCCTAAACCCCTCAATCCAGCCCTAACGGCCCCCCCGACTACACCCCAAACCCCTCAAGCCAGCCCTATTCCTCCTCCACCCCACAGTGGTACCTCCCTCTGAACACTCTTCTCTAACCCATTGAGAAATGAGTAAAATGGAGTAAGACTATGTTAGTGAATCATAATTCGAGATATGACTTTAACAGTGGCGCCAATCAAGAAGGGGACAATGAGATGGATGAGTTGACGCTCCCTTCACTACCAGCAGCCCGGACCCTGAAACTTACGTACACCATGAACTCTAGTGTTGCGTCCTGACCAGGTAATAATCTCTCAAAAGATGATGGTTGGTTTTCGAAAATTCACTTTTTCTGTTGACTTGAACCCCGGATAATTTCCGCAGGTCCCCAAAAGGTTTGACACTAGGTTCAACTGTATTTCCTCCGCGACCCCCTCAATCCAGCCCTCCCCCTCCCCTGTGGGACCCTCCTCTCACTCTACACCAACCCACATATTCCCTTCCCTGACCCCCTCGATCCAGTCCCCACCAACCCCCCCCTACCCCACCTCCCCTGTGGGACCCTCCTCTCACTCTACACCAACCCACATATTCCCTTCCCTGACCCCCTTGATCCAGAATCAAGACATGATGACAGAATCTAAACATTTTTCACATAAAATGACAAAAGGGGCTTTGGACACGAATATTACTATTTGAACAAAACACAAAACCTATGTGATGGAACAAGTTTTAAGCACCTAAAAAAATCAAACTTGCTTTTGCTATGTCTAATCATATTCCCTCTATAACAAATCATTTCCTTTCTTTCGTAACACACCACTACCCATGCACCCATACCCACATCACCAAACTTCGTACCAGTAGACCCCCCACCCCACTCCACCCTTACCCCCACCATAACCTGGACCTCAACCTAGACTAACATCTAGCCTCTGAAATGAATATATTTAACGGAAAAAAACAATTGTTAAATTATAGTTATAAAACATAATAAAAAGGAGCCCAGAGACTTTCTTCATTTCAGCAGCAACCTAGCCTTACCAAACATTATAGACTTGCACGGGCCATATTGGATATATTTGTTTCAGGGTCTGTATGACAGACTAACCCCAATCTCACTCCTCTCCCCGTTTCAAATCAACATTCCCCTTGTCCTGCTCCCCCCCCCCCCCCCCCCCTCAGTCTACAGGGGCACCCCACAGAGCACTTACTGATGTGCACATGTGTGTGTGTGTGTTTGATGCAGAGGAGAGGGGGGTGTAGATCAGTCACAGACAGTTCTGTGTGCATGTGTACGTGTTGTGTGTCAACATGCAGGAGTATACTTGTCTAAGCAAACACAAGAGATTTCTTTCACCAATTAACAGGCACAATTTCCAAATACTGTATTCGACGTAATAAGCGCCCAGGGCGCTCTCAAACTTAAAAATAGGGGGCTCTTATTAGAATATGATTTTGGTGAGCATATATGCAGACAGTTACTTCACATACTTGTCCAAAGCAAATTCTACATGCCGTATTTGACATAATAAGCGCTCTCAAAAATAGGGGGCTCTTATTAGAATATTATGTTGGTGAAAAAAAAACAGAGTTGAAAGATCGTAAATTTCTTGGATTGTGCTGAAAGCTTGAAATGACACCAAAGAAAGGTCTGTGCGTATTATATACAAAAAGATATATTTTCCAGAACCTTAATTGCCCATAATTAACGGTGCATATAACACACGAGTGCGTGTTATACACGAATAAGTAAGTCTTGTGTAAATTGATCAATCAGAAGGGGTGTTAACTGGGATTGTTCACTAGCCAATATATTAGCTAATATCACCGTGGGCGCTTAATAGAGCGGGGCGCTTATTTCGTCAAATATGGTATTTTAAATGCTTGGCTTCCCCCAAATATACTGACACATGCTAGGCCTAGATCTCAATCTGCTGTCGTTGCATCCTCTGTGTCTATATATTGATGCATGACAGCTTCTAATGTACACCCTTTGCGAATATGCGGATTGACAACGTACGCACTCCAGTGTTTAAGTTCATAGCACCATAAATGCAAAACATATTGCAGTCAATTCTTAATAAGACCACTACGATGACCCCTCAAAGAGATTGCTCAAGTTGTTTCCAGAACTGTTTTCACATGTTTCAGCTAAAACCAAGAAAAAGCCAAAGTTTGGTAACTCTGTATCTATTATTTACATTTGCATAATAACTATAATCATATGCCCTCATAGAGAATATGACCCGAGTGTCTTTTGATATCAAATATATCAACATGAGTTGATAAAAGTGGAAAAATTCCGAGGCTTGCCGAGGATTTTATCAACGGGTGAGATTTTATTTATCATCCAACATCATTCTTTCAACTTTTTCCATTTGTAGACAGTAATTAGCAGTGTCTTCAGTGTAAAAAGTACTGCAAACAGCTTCAGTAGCAGAGCCATTAGTGATGTCCTTGATTGTGACGTCATGGTAACCAGTGACGTCACAATGGTCTGCAAAGCATTGTGATGTAATTTCATTGCAGCGATATCTACAGTGTAGATATCGCTTGATCTCATCCAAGCATATCTCCTGTGGGAGCCAGTTTTGGATGATAAATCTTGTTAATATACTGATGTACTTTGTACATAACTTAGAACTTGTATAATTATATGCCATGTGTTTCATCTGTTTGCATGCATGTATAAAATTAAGGTATAATCATTTGCCTTCTCATCATTGTGCCACATGAATGTCCTATTTTTGTCCTCGTCCCGAATGGGCATTTTTGTAGAATAAAAATTCTTCTTTAGTAGAAATATTTTTATTGAACTGATACATAACTTTATGTTGTAGACTCTACATTAGCCTACCAGACACACTGCAGGCCAAGTAGACTTGCACAAGTCACTAAAGCCTAGTTTACATGCACTATTTTATCCCAAGGTATTAAACCCCCTGTGGTAAATTTAAAAAACATGTTTATATGACGAAATGTACCTCTCAGGATGCATTTTGCCCCCTTAAGACCAGGCTTAAGGCAATATTTTGTATTCACAATCATATTTCTAGATTATACAAATAACAAGAACAAGCTGTCCCTATAAAAGACAGGCGTCCTCAGAAGTCGGCTTATCTAGACTTGCCTATTATAAGAATAGAATTACTATACACACAAGGACTTATTTGGTCTGTCTTACAGACCCTGATACAAATATATCAAATACAGCCAAAGCAAGTCTATAATGTTTGGCAAGTCTAGATTTCTGCAGTATCTGAAAATGAAGAGAGTCTCTGGGCTCCTTTTTATTAATTATTTTATGATAATTTAACAACTTTTTTTTCTGTACTATATGTTCATTTCAGAGACTAGATGTTAGTCTAGGACTTATTATTCTCAACTTCGTAGCAAGGCTACAGGCATGACAGGACAAGGTTCAGTTTGAAAGGGTTCCAGCACCTAGGCCTTGAGGCCCCTCTCACCATCTGGTTACTAACTGTGTGGGTCTGTTACCTATGTAATTGACCAGCACCACTTAAGGAAAGCTGATCTGATGTTTCCCCGACCTGTCATGTTTCCCCGACCTGTCATGTTTCCTCAACAAGGCCCCATCAGGTCCGAGGTCTGGGGAGGTCTGGCAGATAAACTTTCAAGTTATGGAAGCCCCAGTTACTGAAAATACACTGCTTCTCTCAGCAGCCATTAATTTCTCCTTAACCTGCTTTGTCTAGACCTCGGAGCCACATTGTAATGCTCCAGTGAAAGACAATCATATTTACCAGGGATAGACTCTAGCACTAGGTCGCTAGCCTGAGCCAGTTTTGATAGTATTAACCAACCTAAGGGCAAGTAAAATTTCAAAGTTTTGGGGATGTTCCTATATGTTGTCATTATCTAAGTTTGTAGTCCTGTGCCATGATGGATAGACAGATAGACAGATAGATAGATAGATAGATAGATAGATAGATAGATAGATAGATAGATAGATTTTTTTACAAACCTAGACAAGTTTAGATCAAACTTAACCATGTCTAGTTTTCTTGAAGAAAAGAAATTACAATTATTTAAAGGAAAATATTTCAAAGACGAAGTGTTATTCTGCCAGGCAAGTATACTTTCAAGGTTAAATTCTATATCTTTATATAGTAGTATATTGTAGTCTGGATCTACCAACTGGAAATACAGTGTACAAGATATTGCTGATAAATCTGAATTTGACAATTTTTAACTTTTTTTCCCCCAATAGTGCCTGCGTTAGTTCTTAGATAGATTTAATTATCTCAAAACAAATTAGCAACTTGCCTTTGCAATTTGTATCATTATTAATTACCGTATTCGACGTAATAAGCGCCCAGAGCGCTCTCAAAATTAGAAATAGGGGGCTCTTATTAGAATATTATTTTGGTAAAAAACAGAGTTGAAAGATAAATTTCGTGGTTTATGCTGACAGCCTGAAATGTTTATGTACGACAGATATATTTTTCTAGAATTTAATTGCCAATAATTAAGGGTGCATATAACACACGAGTGCGTATTGTACGCGAATAAATAAGTCTTGTGAACATTGATCAATCGGAAGTGGTGCTAATTGGGATTGTTCACTAGCCAATATATTAGCAAATACCGCCGTGGGCGCTTATTAGAGCGGGGCGCTTATTACGTCGAATACGGTAGTTTAATTAGTTATACTTGGTTTTTTCATTTACCATTTATCTAGTGAATGACTGAGACAAGGTTGTAGGTGTACTCTGGTTACATTATATCACCCTGTGAACAACAGTCTGGACATGGAAAACTAGACTGACATCTAGTCTCTGAAATGAACATATTTTACAGAAAAAACAGCTGTTAAATTACAGTTGTAAAATATAATCAAAAGGAGCCCAGGTAGAGATTGATTGATAATTACAAGGTCTGTCCTCGCTTGTGAATTTGTACAGACACTGATACTGCAGTAATCTAGACTTGCCAAACATTATAGACTTGCATGGGCTGTATTCGCTATATTTGTATCAGGGTCTGTATGACAGACTTATGGAAAACCAATGGTTGATGATCACGCATGCACAATCCAGTGTTCAACATTTATTTGATAGAAATCGGAAACTTCAAATATATTGGAATGTAATGGGAATTATGAGCTCCCTAAATTTGTTTGTTTGTTTGTTGTTTAACGCTGCACTCAGCAATATTCCAGCTATATGACGGCGGTCTGTAAGCAATCAAGTCTGGACCAGACAATCCAGTGACAACATGAGCATCGATCCACACAATTGGGATCGATGACATGCATCAACCAAGTCAACGAGCCTGACCACCCATCACGTTAGTCGCCTCTTACGACAAGCATGGGAGCTCCCTAAATGGAAGGACAGCATGTCATATTAACCTACAAGCTAATGACACAGTGCGACAAGCAATCTACTAAAGGTAGGCTCTTTTTATACAACCTAATTTATATATTTTTGCCGTAATTGTTGATTTTATTATCGCAAAAGCATCATGTTCAGATTAAAATCGAACGATAATGGCAAAATTGCAATAGTAGGAGCCTCTGTTCATATAATCCTGCAGATGTCAGCTGTGCATGTTTGAGGGTAGACAGACTCTCGCTACTACTACAGCGTGTGTGTATACTCCAGCAGGAGGTGCCCACATGGCCAAGGCAGGGCTACTGTGTGTGCTCAGGGCTACTGTGTGTACTCAGGCTAGTAAGTAGCTTCAGCCAAAGGTTTGGTTTGTGTGTTGTTTAACTCCACACTCAGCAATAGTCCAGCTATATGACGGCGGTCTGTAAATAATCGAGTCTTGACCTGACAATACAGTGATTGACATCATGAGCATCGATCCACGCAATTGGGATATGATGACATGCATCAACCAAGTCAGCGAGCCTGACCACATGATCCTGTTAGTCGCCTCTTACGACAAGCATAGTTGCTTTTATGGCAGGCATGGGTTGCTGAAGACCTATTCTACCCCGGATCTTCATGGGTGTCAAAGGGAGATGCTTGGTTGTGTAAGCCAATCTCAGCCAATCTCAACTGAAACCTGTTCTGGTCATTCCCACACACTTCACCCTTTCCCTCATCTTTCTTGTTCCATCCACATCCCCTTCGTCAACACCATCCCACATCTAATGAGTAACAGACGTCTCCATCCTTCACCTCTACCTTCAGCTAGACACCCAACCCCTACCAAAAAACACTCAACCCCAGGCCAGATAAAGCAGCAGTCAGCAGAGAGGCCTGAATCTCCGAGGTTGCTGGGGATCTATTCTATCCCTGAATTTACATGTGGGAGAAGTATGGTTGCTGGGGATCTACTCTATCCCTGAATTTACATGTAGGAGAAGCCTGGTTGCTGGGGATCTACTCTATCCCTGAATTTACGTGTGGGAGAAGCCTGGTTGCTGGGGATCTATTCTATTCATGTATTTACATGTTGGAGAAGCCTGGTTGCTGGGGATCTATTTTATCCCTGAATTTACATGTGGGAGAAGCCTGGTTGCTGGGGTTCTATTCTATCCCTGAATTTACATGTGGGAGAAGCCTGGTTGCTGTGATCTATTCCACCCCTGAATTTACATGTGTGAGAAGCCTGGTTGCTGTGATCTATTCTATTCATGTATTTACATGTTGGAGAAGCCTGGTTGCTGGGGATCTATTTTATCCCTGAATTTACATGTGGGAGAAGCCTGGTTGCTGTGATCTATTCTATCCCTGAATTTACATGTGTGAGAAGCCTGGTTGCTGTGATCTATTCGACCCCTGAATTTACATGTGGGGGAAGCATCGGTTGCCAGGTGAGTATTTCATATCTGAACCTCTACATAGGACAAGCATAGGTCGTAGGGAACTTATTCTTACCCAGATTTCCTACAGTGGACAAGCATATGTTGCTGGGGACCTAGTCTAACCCCAATATACCCACGGGGAACAAGAACAGGTTGCTGGGGACCTAGTCTAACCCCAATATACCCACGGGGAACAAGAACAGGTTGCTGGGGACCTAGTCTAACCCCAATATACCCACAGGGAACAAGAACAGGTTGCTGGGGACCTAGTCTAACCCCAATATACCCACGGGAAACAAGAACAGGTTGCTGGGGACCTAGTCTAACCCCAATATACCCACGGGGAACAAGAACAGGTTGCTGGGGACCTAGTCTAACCCCAATATACCCACGGGGAACAAGAACAGGTTGCTGGGGACCTAGTCTAACCCCAATATACCCTCGGGGAGCAAGAACAGGTTGCTGGGGACCTAGTCTAACCCCAATATACCCTCGGAGAACAAGAACAGGTTGCTGGGGACCTAGTCTAACCCCAATATACCCTCGGGGAACAAGAACAGGTTGCTTGGGACCTATTCTAACCCCAATATACCCATGGGGAACAAGAACATGTTGCTGGGGACCTATTCTAACCCCAATATACCCACGGGGAACAAGAACAGGTTGCTGGGGACCTATTCTAACCCCAATATACCCACGGGGAACAAGAACAGGTTGCTGGGGACCTAGTCTAACCCCAATATACCCACGGGGAACAAGAACAGGTTGCTGGGGACCTAGTCTAACCCCAATATACCCATGGGGAACAAGAACAGGTTGCTGGGGACCTAGTCTAACCCCAATATACCCACGGGGAACAAGAACAGGTTGCTGGGGACCTAGTCTAACCCCAATATACCCACGGGGAACAAGAACAGGTTGCTGGGGACCTATTCTAACCCCAATATACCCACGGGGAACAAGAACAGGTTGCTGGGGACCTATTCTAACCCCAATATACCCACGGGGAACAAGAACAGGTTGCTGGGGACCTAGTCTAACCCTGAACGCATGTACTGGGGAATGCACACAGGATTCTATTCAAGAGGGGAAATAATGGTACATGGTATTCAACAACAGCTGGCAGGCACCAGCTGTGAACTACAACGTCAGGAGGTGAGCGCTGGGACCAACAGAAGCTGGGAGTTGTGGCGGAGATAGCTGATCAGGTGTGTGGAGATATGTTCCTTGAAGACCTCAGTGCAGCAGAGAGTTGAGTATTTCTGTTTAAATGCATATGTTTTCTTATACACTATATTCTGTTTTCTGTGGATCAGATCAGATCAGATTTTTTTTTGGGGGGGGGGGGGTAGAGAGTTTGGAGACTCAAAGTTATTTACAGCTACAGCTGCAAAACCAAATATTTTTTAAGTTAAACTTGTGAGCCTAAATATTTTTTTTTAAAAACACCTTGTAAGAATGTAATATTTGTAGCAGACAATTATTCAGTTTTTTAATAGTGTGAAGTGTAAGTATTTTTTTCAAGGATTTTTGAATGTTGAATGTGCACAATCAAACAACACCTCAGTCAAACATCACAGTTAATTTATGGGGCAGAAGCCAAACACTTGGGAGGAAACAAATATATATATTACACACACACACACACACACACACACACACACACACACACACACACACACACACACACACACACACACACACACACACACACACACACACAAACACAAAGAACTAGCTCACTTTCCAAACAAATGCACCGACATGAGTATACTATATTTATGTTTCAGTTCATGCAATGAAAATACTATTAATTTGCCAATGAACTCGCACAGTATCAACATGCCCCAACACAGGTGTAGCTATGTAGACTCACTTTTCACATTCCTCCAGTGACGCAAGGAAGTTGTGTTGGAATGCAATCAGCTGCTCAATGTTCCCCACGAGCTGGCAGTACTCCACTGGCGTCAATCTGAAACACACAACGCTCACCATTAATCAGGTAATTGCACCCTATCTCTCTGCCCTGAAACAAATGAGCTTTAGATTGAAATGGACGAGATTAAGATTGAAATGGACGTGTACAGCTTGCAGCTCATGGAGGTGCTTAGGCATTCATTCCATGGCCTTCCATGGTGGGTGAGTGAGTGGGAGAATGAGAGAGAGTGAATGAGAGAATAAGCGAGTGAGTGTTAGAGTGAGTGAATAAGTGAGAGTAAGTGAAAGAGCAAGAGAGAGAATGAGTGAGTGAGAGTGAATAAAAAACGTGTGTGAGATTGAGTGTGTGAGTGAAACAGCATTAGAAATTGGCACTAGTCCTGTAGTCCTTGCCAAACTGCCCAATAGTTAAGGTATCATAAGGACTAGTAGAAATTTGCCATTTTTAAGGTTTTTGCTATATGTTATCATTATAATTACTAGTTGACTAGAAATGTTAGTTTCTGCTGCTGTGAAAGACGAGTGCGAGTAAGAGAGTCAGTGAGTAAGTGAGAGTAAGTGAATGAGCAAGAGAGAGAATGAGAGAGTGTGAGTGAAAGACAATGAGAATGAGAGAGAGTGAATAAGTGAGAGAGTGATAGAATGAGCGAGTATGTGAGTTGGGTTTAACGCTGCTTTTAACTGTATTCCAGTTAAATCAGTTGTGTCAGCTTCATGTGGGAGGAAAGCCCCGAAGTGATGCAGGTCTCAGACGTTTACCACTTTGGTAAAACCCACGAGCACGGGTATGGTGCTGACAAACCTAGAAACATAATCGTGGCGAACCAGGATTCGAACCCAAAATCATAGGTTTCTGGCGTGTCCAAGGGATGCAACTCTGCACAGCGAATCGCGGCGCTTAAGACGACTGGGCCACCTGTGCCCCCGATAAAATAATCGAGAGAGAGTTTGAAATCATATGCAATCAGCCATGTTGGATTAACAGGACTTGGCTGTAATTGTAAAATTGTTTAATTTAATGTTGAAGACTTTATTTTTAATTTTTACAAAAACCGAACTATTTCAAAAACCGTAGAACTTTGACTGTTATATGTCTATGTTAAAGTATGGGAGCACAGACAGAGTGAACACAAGCCATACACAGCAAAGACCCCAGCTGTTCATATCTTATCTCTTCACCTGGGAGAAAACACTGACAGCTTATCTCCGAACATTATCATAATCTCGTAGATATGCCAAACATTTCTTGTATCACTCAAGTTCATGATCTGACATGTTACATGAAGGGCCTATCAGGTACTGAGAAGCTTCATAATTACAGTTGATAATTCTCTACACAGCTGTATATAATGGGCTCTGGGAATAGCACTGTCTTGTAAGTCTTGCTGGTCTAATGGTACTGGCAATATGTATTCTTCCTCTTCTTAGAAATTTTGCGGTAGGATTCCTTGGAAAGATTTGTCCCTTCCCTGAAGATTGGTCCCATCACCAGGCAAATCTGGTTCCAATACTAGGAAGATCTGCCCTCTTTACCCTGGGATAGGTGGGCAAATCTTGAAGAGAAAGTGCCAAACATAGAATTGGTCATATCTCTTTGTCATATTCAGGGCTAGAAAATGGTCCCATCCCAAGGTAACTCCAGATAGAAATTGGTCCCAACCCAAGGTAACTCCAGATAGAAATTGGTCCCAACCCAAGGTAACTCCAGATAGAAATTGGTCCCATCCCAAGGTAACTCCAGATAGAAATTGGTCCCATCCCAAGGTAACTCCAGATAGAAATTGGTCCTAGCCCTAGGTAACTCCAGATAGAAATTGGTCCCAACCCAAGGTAACACTAGAGAGAAATTGGTCCCAACCCAAGATAACTCCAGAAAGAAATTGGTTCCAACCCAAAGAAAGATATATTCTATAAAAAAGTGTCCCCCATAGTTAAGATAACATTGTCTGTTTGCCTCCTAAACCTATCAGTATCAGTGTTAGTGCCACAGACTGACTAGAGGATGGGTCACAAGATGGCGCACATCAGGGAAGATAACTCCGAGACTTTTGTGCCTGTTCAGAGGATGGGGCTGAACAATGTTGCAGGACTCCAGGAGGACGCTGGAGTATGTGAGTCAGCTTAGTGTCTCCACCTACTCTCTCGCTGGTGTACTTACATGCCAGTGTTCTGCAGGGGCAGGATATTGGTCTGCAGGAGGATGCCGGAGCATGTGAGTCAGCTAAGTGTCTCCACCTACACTCTCACTGGTGTACTTACATGCCAGCGTTCTGCAGGGGCAGGATATTGGTCTGTAGGGGCAGGATAATGGTCTGCAGGAGGACGCCGGAGCATGTGAATCAGCTAAGTGTCTCCACTTACTCTCTCACTGGTGTACTTACATGCCAGCATTCTGCAGGGGCAGGATATAGGTCTACAGGGGCAGGATATTGCTCTGTAGGGGCAGGATATAGGTCTGCAGGAGTACGCTGGAGCATGTGAGTCAGCTAAGTGTCTCCACTTACTCTCTCACTGGTGTACTTACATGCCAGCATTCTGCAGGGGCAGGATATAGGTCTGCAGGGGCAGGATATTGGTCTGTAGGGGCAGGATATAGGTCTGCAGGAGTACGCTGGAGCATATGAATCAGCTAAGTGTCTCCACCTATTCTCTCACTGGTGTACTTACATGCCAGTGTTCTGCAGGGGCAGGATATAGGTCTGCAGGGGCAGGATATTGGTCTGTAGGGGCAGGATATAGGTCTGCAGGAGTACGCTGGAGCATATGAATCAGCTAAGTGTCTCCACCTATTCTCTCACTGGTGTACTTACATGCCAGTGTTCTGCAGGGGCAGGATATAGGTCTGCAGGGGCAGGATATTGGTCTGCAGGAGGACGCTGGAGTATGTGAGTCAGCTTAGTGTCTCCACCTACTCTCTCACTGGTGTACTTACATGCCAGCGTTCTGCAGGGGCAGGATATAGGTCTGCAGGATCTGCGACATCCCAGACACATGAGTCTTCTCCGTCTCAATGATGTTCTTCAGCACCTGAAACAAGCCACAGGAGGAAAATGAGTCAGCCACATGATGGCAGGTAACACAGGGGAGAGTCAGCCACATGACGGCAGGTAACACAGGGGAGAGTCAGCCACATGATGGCAGGTAACACAGGGGAGAGTCAGCCACATGATGGCAGGTAACACAGGGGAGATAACAACTTGAGGTGATGGGTGAGGTGAAATGGGGTTTAACGTCACGTCCAAGATTATTGCACTTATATAGCGACATGCACGTACGTGTGTGTGAGGCTGCTTGTACTAGTCCAGACTGATGCCGATTAATAGTGCTACCTCACTGAGATACCATGGCGCAGTTTAACATGAATACCCCACTCAGACAAGGTATACTGACTCCAGGCAGACCAGTCCTTGTTTTAGCCCCTTAATGCCGAGCGCCAGACAGGGTAACAACAAGTACCATCTTTTAACGTCTTTTGGTATGACGCGGCCGGGGTTCGAACCCTGGACCTTCCGCTCTCCGGGCGGACGCTCTACCACTAGACCACAGAGGCGGTCGATAACAACTTGAGAGTGACATGACTCACTTTCTTCCGTATTGAATAGGAAACACCATTTGTGAATGAATTTCTTTTTAGATTTTAGGTTAAACGATACAAATTATCATGAAATTTGTTATTTTTCTTTCACCCAATATACCAGAACACAAAAAATATTGCAATACATATTGTTTGGAAAGCGTATTGCAATATACCAGTCCTACCCACGTTTGTCACCACTCGCCCCTTTCCGTAACCTGCAAGAAGACTCGTCCCCCTATCGATGAATGTTACTTGCGAAAATACGACAAACCAATCAGAATGCACATATGATTTCAAGTTCTTCGTCAAAGAATCCCTCAGAAATAATTTTTGGTTTTACATATGTCTTGCATCTGAATATATACCCAAGAAACAGTTAAATGTGTTCAATCATACGGTATAATTCCGCATGGCCAGGTATGCTTTAAATTGCATCTGAAATATATATAATATATGGGGAAATATATGTGAACCAGTTGACAATTGTTTTAGGTATGCCCCTTTGCGCTAAGACGGAACCCGGTCGCAAAAATGGCCGTGAGAGGGACACGAGTCGCTTTTCAGCTTGTCCCGGAATAACACGAGTTGGTCATGAATGGTCCCCCGAAGAGTGAGTGAGTGAGTGAGTGGGTGAGTGAGTGAGTAGTGAGTGGGTGGGTGAGTGAGTAGTGAGTGAGTGAGTGAGTGAGTGAGTGAGTGAGTGAGTGAGTGAGTGAGTGAGTGAGAGAGTGAGTGAGTGAGTGAGTGTGAATGGGTGAGTGAGTAGTGAGTGAGTGAGTGAGTGGATGGGTGGGTGGGTGAGTGAGTGAGTGAGTGAGTGAGTGAGTGAGTGAGTGAGTGAGAGTGAGTGAGTGTGAATGGGTGAGTGAGTAGTGAGTGAGTGAGTGAGTGAGTGAGTGAGTGAGTGAGAGTGAGTGAGTGAGTGAGAGTGAGTGAGTGTGAATGGGTGAGTGAGTGAGTGAGTGAGTGAGTGGTGAGTGAGTGAGTGAGTGAGTGGGTAAGTGAGTAGTGAGTAGTGGGTGAGTGGGTGAGTGAGTGAGTGAGTGGGTGGGTGGGTGGGTGGGTGAGTGAGTGAGTGAGTGAGTGAGTGAGTAGTGAGTGAGTGGGTGAGTGGATGAGTGAGTGAGTGAGTGAGTGAGTGAGTGAGTGAGTGAGTTAGTAGTGAGTGAGTAGTGAGGGGGTGAGTGGATGAGTGGGTGAGTGAGTGAGTGAGTGAGTGAGTGAGAGTGAGTGAGTGAGTGAGTGAGAGTGAGTGAGTGTGAATGGGTGAGGGAGTGAGTGGTGAGTGAGTGAGTGAGTGGGTGAGTGAGTAGTGAGTAGTGGGTGAGTGGGTGAGTGGGTGAGTGAGTGAGTGAGTGAGTGATTGAGTGAGTTAGTAGTGAGTGAGTAGTGAGTGGGTGAGTGGATGAGTGAGTGAGTGAGTGAGTGAGTGAGTGAGTGAGTGAGTGAGTGAGTTAGTTAGTGAGTGAGTGAGTGAGTGAGTTAGTAGTGAGTGAGTAGTGAGTGGGTGAGTGGATGAGTGGTCGAGTGGGTGAGTGAGTGAGTGAGTGAGTGAGTGAGTGAGTGAGAGTGAGTGAGTGTGAATGGGTGAGTGAGTGAGTGAGTGAGTGAGTGAGTGAGTGAGTGAGAGTGAGTGAGTGAGTGAGTGAGCGAGCGAGCTCATCGGTGTGGAATCAACTCACCACGCTGTGATACAACTGCATGCTCTCTCTCTTGAACTGCGGCACCTCGGCTCCAGGCGTCCTCATGGCAATTTCTGGAACACAGGCTATTTCCTTAATTATATAGAAAATTCTCCACTGATTACATAGTTCCTCTCCACATGGTCACCAGCAAAGTTCTAAGTTATATCAAGATGACAACTTAAGCCCCCGTCACACTATCAAAAACTTTGATCAAAAACTTGGTCAAAGAAAATTTTGACCAAGTTTTCATGGTCCAAGTTGGACTGTTGACACTCATCAAAGTTTTTGACAGGCCGTCAAACGTTTGGCGGGAATTATCTAGCCAAGATGGATGCAACTGACGAAGAATGCTATGCTGTTGTCATAAGTATTTTGTGTATTGCCATGTTAAGAAAGTGGCGTCGGGGTAGGCAAAGGCATATTTGATCCCCATAACGGCTGCTCGTTGTTGAACCAAATCAATTATTTCGGCCAACATCTCGTCAGTCCAAAATAGTGGGCTCATTTTGACTTGACTCTATCCACCTGAAAAGGGGAAATGTTCCTTGCATTCTGATTGGCTAAATTAAATCGAGGTCATCAAACTTTGATCAAAGTTTGACGAGAAATAGGATCGGTTTCTATTCCATTAAAGTCCATCAAAAACTTTGTCAAAGTTTTTGACAGCATGTTACACTATCAAAAACTTGGTCAAAATGGACTTTTGATAGAGTAACAGGGCCTTTAATGTGACAAAATAACCTGATGAATTAAGACACAATGATCATGTCCATTGTCATAATTTTCAGCCAGTTTTCCTCTCTGTGTCTGTCACAAGACGCGACTATGTCTGTCGTAAGAGCAGCCATGTTTTTTGGAAGAGGCGACTCTGTCTGTTGTGAGAAATGACAATGTTTGTCGTAAGAGGCGACTAAGTTTGTCTTAAGAGGCAACTATGAGGCGACTATGTTGTAAGAGGTGAATATGTTTGTCTTAAGAGGTGACTATGTTTGTCTTAAGAGGCAACTATGTTTGTCTTAAGAGGCACCTAAAAGGCGACTATGTTGTAAGAGGCGACTATGTTTGTCTTAAGAGGCGACTAACAGGATCAGGTAGTCAGGATTGTGCTTGTTTCCCATATTGCGTAGATTGATGGATTGTCTGGTCCAGACTCAATTATTAACAGACCGACGTCATATAGTGGAAATGTGAATGCTGAATGGGGAATTAAACAACAAACAAACAAACAAATCCCTGGTGTCCCAAAGATACAAAGCCTTCCCCATTCAAAACTTCTGAGGTAGGAAAATTAAGTACCAGGTTTTTCTTGTGTTGAAAATATTGAAACCTTCCAAGTTCTTTTATTTTATTTTGCCTAAAGTCTTCAGGATGCCTTAACGAGTGAGTGAGTGAGTGAGTGAGTGAGTCTGTGAGTGAGTGAGTGAGTGAGTGAGTGAGTGAGTTTGATTTTACACCGCTTTTAGCAATATACCAGCAATATCACGGCGGGGACACCAGAAATGGGCTTCACACATTGTACGCCTGTCAGGAATCGAACCAGGGTCTTCTGCGTGATGCGCAAACACTTTAACTACAAGTATACCCCAAACTAGTGAGAATGTTTTGTACCAGCCATTGGACCAGTCAGTTCAGCCCTGCCTTTGAAACATTTAATGAAGCATTGATTTCTAGGTTCCACTACACCAAATCAGAACCAGTTGGGACAGTGCGGTTTTCGTAGGGAGCCTTCAGTGCAGATCGAGAGATATCTGCAGGCTGTGATTGGAGGATATTCTGTAAGATGTTTATGTCTTTTAAATGTACATTATTAAAACTGACCATGTTTTTCTATATTTAGTAGTCTTTTTCAACATGATGACTTATGCTGAATGTGACCACAGCTATTTTCAAGTAGGTGACATTTGGTGCGAAACTGGGGGTGGTGTGTTGAGCTTCCTGTACTCAGAAAAGGAGCTGGCTGAGCTAGTCATTTTGGATGTTTTTATTGCTGCTCTTAGGCCAAACTGTGCACACACGTACAGGTAATAGCTGTTGAATGCTTAGTTATTTAAAAAAAAATTATAATGTTACTATAGAAGTGTATGGGAAAACATTTGGCTGTGTGTAACCTCTAAGGCTGCCCATTACAAATCTCCTCCTACAGTCTGGGCCATCTTAGAATAACAGATTACTTCCATGTCCAGCTCAACAAGTACTACAAGAACCTGCAGCCTTTATACATCAAACCAAGGCAATTGAGCTTGAGACATTCCTTATGGCAGACTGCACCTGTAACCTTTGGCAAGTCTGGCAGTCAGGATGACCTTTAGATGACCCTGTCATCTGACCCTGACCCTATCGTCTGACACATCATCATGTCAGACGTACTGTCAGATGATATATGCATCTATTGGTCTCACTGCTGCCAGGGGGCATGGGTGGCCCAGTCGTCTAAGGCGCTGCGATTCGCTGTGCAGGGTTGCATCCCTTGGGCATGCCAGAAACCTATGATTGTGGGTTCGAATCCCGGTTTGCCCCGATAATGTTTCCAGGTTTGTCAGCACCATACCCATGCTCGTCGGTTTCACCAAAGTGCTAAACTTCTGAGACTTGCATCACTTTGGGCTTTCCTCCCACATTAAGCTTGATTTGACTGGAATATTGCTAAAAGCAGCGTTAAACCACACTTACTCACTCATAGCCACCAATACATAGAGAAAAAGGCAACATTTTTCTTATCTTTTGATTGAGGACAAAATCAGCAATTAGAAACCTGTAAATTATGTCTGACTGAAAAAAGTATTTTGACAGCTGTATTAATAGCTTTAATTATTTGAATAAACGCTACCAATATCACCATGTCTGTCTGTCCCTAATCAATTAATAGTCAGCATAAAAACAACTACCTAACTTCATATAACTAGCCTCCAATGCCTAAAACAGATATATTTTAAATGATAGCCAGGTTGCCATGGTTATGCTGCCATGAACAAAAGATGTGTGGTGACGGTGGTCATATTATTGGCAAAAATTCATTTAAATCTCAAACCTGTCGCTCGGTAAGTTTCCCTGGCAACATTACAAAAACAGGTTGGAGTTTATTAACAACTGCTTTTAAGAATGCTAGAAGCTTTTCCAGAAATCCATCTTCAAAAGCAAATATTTTCACAATGCATGATGGAAATATTAAATGATGCTGTTACCATGGTTACACAAGAGGTTAATCTTTGGAAAGAAACTTAACCCTTTATACACTAAAGCCAACACTCGAAGAATATCAAACAGTTGAATTATAATACATCTTGGCTTCCATTTCAACTTATACCACTACCTTAGAACAATGGCCAGGCATATTCCCTTGAAACACACTTTGGTAATAAAAAAATAATTATCATCTTTACAGCACTTAATGGTTAATAAGATAAAAGGAAATGGGTTATTTCAAGTGTTCTGGAGCTATTCCTGGGTCTATCCACAAATAAACACGCATGCCTATAAGAAATGGTTTCACAAGGAGTTGCTCAACACAGGTTGTTCAGACGCCATGTTACATGGCTAACTAATTATATTACGGAAAAACTTACACCGATAAAATGGAATAACAACAAGAAACTACACCAGTAGAGAACTGTGTGATTCTAAAGAAAATAAACTTTCTGGAATGAAAATTCTCCTTCCATTTCCATGCTAGTGTTGATGTGGATTTAAGAAAATATATTTATTGTTGAATTACACTTAGGCACAACAGGGCTCTCTGTATGTGACAGATCCTGTACTGGAGTAAGGCAGCGTTAGAAATTGGCTCTAGTCCTATTGTGCTTGCCAAACTGGCCAATGGTTAAGGTATCACAAGGACAAGTAGAAATTAGCCCATTTTAAGGATTTTGCTATGTTACCATTAATAGGACTAGTGGACTAAATCTGTTAAGTTTCTAACACTGGGGTAAGGTCAGATGGTCTCCGTGTACCAGAGTAAGATCCAGGGTTTTACCTGGACTTACTAAGTATGGGTCCAGGGTCCCCTGTACCAGAGTAAAACCAGATGGTCTCCGTGTACCAGAGTAAGATCAGATGGTCTCCGTGTACCAGAGTAAGATCAGATGGTCTCCGTGTAACAGAGTAAGATCAGATGGTCTCCGTGTACCAGAGTAAGATCAGATGGTCTCTGTGTGCCAGAGTAAGATCAGATGGTCTCCGTGTACCAGAGTAAGATCAGATGGTCTCTGTGTACCAGAGTAAGATCAGATGGTCTCCGTGTACCAGAGTAAGATCAGATGGTCTCTGTGTACCAGAGTAAGATCAGATGGTCTCCCTGTACCAGAGTAAGATCAGATGGTCTCTGTGTACCAGAGTAAGATCAGATGGTCTCTGTGTACCAGAGTAAGATCAGATGGTCTCCCTGTACCAGAGTAAGATCAGATGGTCTCTGTGTACCAGAGTAAGATCAGATGGTCTCCGTGTACCAGAGTAAGATCAGATGGTCTCCCTGTACCAGAGTAAGATCAGATGGTCTCAGTGTACCAGAGTAAGATCAGATGGTCTCAGTGTACCAGAGTAAGATCAGATGGTCTCAGTGTACCAGAGAAAGATCAGATGGTCTCAGTGTACCAGAGAAAGATCAGATGGTCTCCGTGTACCAGAGTAAGATCAGATGGTCTCCGTGTGCCAGAGTAGGATCAGATGGTCTCCGTGTACCAGAGTAAGATCAGATGGTCTCAGTGTACCAGAGTGAGATCAGATGGTCTCCGTGTGCCAGAGTAGGATCAGATGGTCTCAGTGTACCAGAGAAAGATCAGATGGTCTCCATTTACCAGAGTAAAATCAGATGGTCTCCGTGTACCAGAGTAAGATCAGATGGTCTCCGGGTACCAGAGTAAGATCAGATGGTCTCCATGTACCAGAGTGAGATCAGATGGTCTCAGTGTACCAGAGTGAGATCAGATGGTCTCAGTGTACCAGAGTAGGATCAGATGGTCTCAGTGTACCAGAGAAAGATCAGATGGTCTCCGTTTACCAGAGTAAGATCAGATGGTCTCTGTGTACCAGAGTAAGATCAGATAGTCTCCGTGTGCTAGAGTAAGATCAGATGGTCTCTGTGTACCAG